TAAATATCATAATGTGATATGGTTTCCTCCCACAGACCAAAACACATGACTGTTAGGCTAACTGGCAATTATGAAAATTGTCCCTATGTGTGAGTAAGTGGTTGATTGTCTCATTTGTCTTTATGTGATGGACTTAAAACCTGTCCAGGGTGTACACCGCCCCACGCAGTGACTGATATGGGCAGCAGTGAGCCCTGTGACCCTGAAATGAAGAAGCAGGAATAGATAATGGATAAATTATGTCAGTATAGTAGGCTAATCATCTGAAAATATTATTTCTGATTGAGTTCTTTAGGGAGGGAGATTTTCCGTGCTGGCCATCATGTTTCTAAATAATAGTAACGCAGGGTGGAAAAACCCATAAAGCTGATAAATAGGCCTGTATAAGTATATTAAAGCTGCTGTATGTCGTTTCTTGAAAACCCAAAAACAGAAAAAATTTGAACAGATACAACTTTCTACTCCCTCCCCCTGCTCTCAGCTCCCCTTCCTAAGCTCCTCCCCCACAGCAGGGCCCAGAGTCGGGAAAGCGCACGTTTGTAAACAGGAGGTGAGACACACTGTAACACACAGAGTTCAGAGCTAAGCTGCCGTCATAGGTAAGAACAAACCATCAACAATATATTTTTTACTATCATGTCTTGCCCATACTTTATCTACACAAGTGCTCCTTTTGTCATAACTTTACATGTAAATTATGTTGCACTCTTTCTATAAGTTATAAAGAGCTATCAAGCTAACACAGCACCGAAGCTGCGCAGTGGTTCTTAATTCCGGTCCTCATGACCCACTATCCTGCATGTTTTAGCTGTTTCCCTGCTTTGGAACACATGACTTAAATGAATGAGTGATTGACAAGCTTCTGCAGAACATAAAGACCTGCTGAAGAGCAGGGAAACAACTAAAACATGCAGGATAGTGGGTCATGAGGACCGGAATTCAGAACCATTTTAGGATTTCAGCAAAATGACAAGCCTGTGTATTAGTATTTTTCAGCTCTTGCTTTGCACAGTGTGACATTTTATCTTTATGCTATGCAGCTAGTTTTTGACAATCATCATCTACCAGCTGATGGAGAGAAGCTGTGGTGGAGCATCACGCAGGTCACGTGGGAGACGCAGTAGATTGGGTTCAGCTCCTGAGAACCTCAGCAGAGGACATCTGCATCTCAACCCTACCTTCCACTCATCAAATCATATACTGTATTCTGCAGGCAGGAGTCTTGTTTCTGGCCAGGAGGATCTGTAGCTGASCTTACAGATGATGCTGAAGACAACAGGCAGTTTGTGGCTTGCACTTCTGGTCAGAGCAGGCTGCTGAGTGTGGACTTCAAGGAGTGTTTTAAACATCTTCATGGACA